AGCAACAATACAATTTTATAGAAAAATGGTAATCAACGCAACACTAAAAAAATACATACATTTTTATAGTAAAATTAACAACAATATATTTTATGATCTACAAATGATATACCTTTACCCTGAAAGTATAAAATTATGTACAAAACATCTGTAGTTGAACACATAAAAATACATACAAAATATTTAAATCAATCAACCAAGATTGGACATAAATAGGTACCTGTGAAACTTGGAGCTTGGTTAAGTGAATTATATATATATATATATATATATATATATATATATATATATATATATATATATATATTATGAAATGGACAAAGTCCAACAATTATTTTAAGACATTTTTATGTTTATATGTTCTTTTCATAGATACAAATATTTAAGAAAATGCTCTTTTTTTTTTATAAAAGACATTAACAACATTTACCGGCCTGAATATCTGAGAAATTTTTTATAGAAAATATGCATCCTCCAACAGGAACTGAACCTGTATCCTACATGGAATTGTCTTGGGCATCTTTTGCTGTATAACATATACATACATATACAAACATAATATAAACAAGTAATTACTTAATTGAAACTTAATTTCAATTAAATACAGTTTATCACTGTATTCTGCATGCAATGCTGAATATCTTGAGGATAGAGCATATATATATATATATATATATAAAACCATGAAACAATTATTCATATGTTCAATGTTTTCCCTATTTGAAACAGTGTCTATCTAATGCCAAAGACCTTGATTCATATTGGACCTATAGCCATGTAGTGTTGAAACACAGGTTCCTGTATGATCGCTGAAGTTAAGCAACCTTGAGCCTGGTCAGTACCTAGATGGGAATACTAGGCACTGTAAACTTGGATGTGCAGGTGTTTTAATGGCTCAGAATTCTTAATTGGCAAGCCAAGTTCCAATCTCAGTTATGTTCGTTATATTCATTTACACATAAATAATGTTGGGAAAGGTATGAATCCAACTCTTCTCCCCCCCAGCTATGTGGTAATTAATAAGACTTGTAAAATTAAATCATTATTATCTAAAAAAAATACTTACATTTTAAAAATATTTTCTGATTTCAAATGGCCTGCAAAATGTTGATAAGCCATTGAGAATACATCAAATTCAAATCATATTTATCATCAAACAATGAGTAACATATATAAAAAGAAGTTCTACCTATGTTATTAACCCAATTCTTTTTTTCTTGTTGAACTAAATAAAACATTTCAGAATCATTTCATTTTTCTCTTTTTGTCTTTTCATTTATGTCACTTAAGCTAACAATCCAATATTGAATTCAATAGATAACTTTGAAACTTTCCAACCTCTACAATTAAATTTCCTTCGTTCATTTGATGACATAAAAAGCTTTTGTCAAATCTAAATTACTCCATTTTAAATGTTCACCATCGCTTTCCACATGGCTGTCTAATTTCCCTAAATCTATGAATTAAATTTGCTTTATTTTATCTTTGTTTTATTTTATTACTGTCTGCAAAACAATTTTCATATTTGCATTCACCATCTTCCTTAGCCCAAATATTTCAAAATAATTATGAAATCAATATTTTTATTCAGTGTTTTATCCTTTCTTTATTAAATGGATATCTCTGTCTATCTATCTATATATCTATGTAGCCATCCATTTAGCAGTATTAACCACTTCTTTTTCTCTTGCTCAGGCGTCATCTCATTACATGAATGTCACAATGATGTGACGTTTGGAGCAAAGTAATAATGTTTATTTTAATGTTTCATTTAGAAAGTAGTTCATAATAATAAATGCTAGTGAAGGTAATCGTAGTACCAATAAAAAAAATAGGATTATTACCTTAGATCAGCATAGTATCTGTGTGCACTGTTGAGATTGAAATGTCTACATTATATTTGCAATAATTCACCTGATCTTGTTATGGTGGTGTCTGACTTCCTGTGGAGATACCATTGTTTCTTGACTGTTGGTTTGTTTGAGTATCATGAGAATTCAGAGTGAGAACCTTTACTGCTGAAGTTAGCAGATGCATTGCACGTTATAAAAGAGAGAAACTTGCTTTAACTTGTTAATCTCTTCCTGCCTCCACCACCAACTCTAGTTTTCTTTCTTTCTAAGCAGATGATCTTTCAAGCCGACAACATGAAAGACTTTGCACCAGACTTATTCAACAGCATGAAAAGAAAGACTAAAAAAAAGTAAATTTGATTTTGTAGAAATGGTTCTTCTTGAATGGATGTTCCTGTCACTTCTCTCTGGATGGATCATTCCTGTCTTCTGTCAGCTCAAATGTTCCATTTCTTCTTATTCGCTTTGCAGTGTGATTTTTGCCACGTGACAGATGACACCTTCATTGCCTGTCCTTGAGGCACATCCTGTGACCTTATAACATTGAAATTCATCATCATCATCTGTGTGAAGTTTATAACACTTATTATACTCCAGCAATATTATCAAAAAGGAAAGTAGCTCAAAGATAAGTATATCTGAAAGTATTCCTCAGAAAATAATGCATTGATACTTATAGAGTAGGTATTGATTTTTGCTCTCTTATAATAATGTTAACCATATCATTAATAATTATAATTAATAATGTTGACCATATCAGATATGTTTAATTCTATTACAAACACAAAAATAAAAATATAACATATTTACATATCTCATTCTCTGATGAAGCTTTAATAAAAGCAAAATAGGTGAGATTTATAAACCTTTCCTATTTGTTCTTTATTTTATGACACACACATTATATATATATATATATATATATATATATATATATATATATATATATATATATGCACACACACACACATGTATAAAAAGTGAGTGCTGAAAAGTTCTCAGCCCAACCAACTTCCCAAGATCTGACTCAATGTCTACACATCAATCAAAACAAGATTTTACCACACCCTCATATGGCATTACTTATCAGGTTATGAAATTATTAATCTACCCTTGTGAGTTTTATATCTACCTCACGTGTTTGTGTGTGTATGTGCACACACAGCTATAATTATATATTTAGATGGTGTACTAAAAAGAAGCCTATACACTTTATCAGCCAATGATTCTGTATTCTTTTATATACAAGGGGGTGCTAAAATGTTCTTGGTCTGACCCATTTTATAAAATTAATATTTTAATGCCCAAACATCAGAATACTGATTTTGGAAGTGGGTTATCTTAAGATTTTCCATCACCCTTTTGTAAAAACTGCTCCTAAAAATGGATAGAAATAAACTAATGCATGCACAATATCAATTAATAATGGACTGAAGTAACATTCTGACAATGCAAATGAAGTCCCAAGAAATTCACAGTGACAAAGTATGGATGTGTCTTTGGATTCAATATTATTAAATACAAATGTGTCTTTAATTTTTTTTTTTTTTTTTACAAACTCTTTATCTTTCCTGTATTGAATGTTTGTATTCTTCTTTTTCTATGTTCCATGTCCCTTCAAGATGTGGATAATCATGATTCTCCACAACTTCCTGTCCTTTGTAGCTCTTAGCAATGTTTGTCTTTTTACTATTCCTCCCATTCCCCATTCTGCCACCCATTTACACAAGCTCTTTAGGTAGATTACTCACTGTTTCTCTCTGTTTCTTTTGACTTTAACATGTCATGTGTGGGTCAAATTTTCTAAACATTCTTTTCTCATTATGTGTCCCAGAAATTTCAACTATCTCTTTCTGATTCTAAGTATGCATCCTTTTTTTTCCCCTCTTTTCATTAAAACTTTGTCATTACTCACATGTTCATTCCATGGTATTCTCAGCGGTCTTGTAGAACCACATTTCTGTTGCTTCAAGTCTCTTCTTTATCTGTGAGGACATTCACTGCCATAGATGAGGACTGATATTATGTAACAGTTCAGCACACTTTTCTTTGTTTGTAATGAAATTATATTTAAATTAGTTGACAATAAATTACAGGTAAGATGTGTTTTCATTTTGATATGAAATGATACAAATCTGATGGTCTTCAGGACTTTTTTGTTTGATCTGTATAAAAATATTCCTCTCAGGCCAGGGTCAAAGCATGGTAACTGTTAAATCATTTTAGGCGGGAGAACATACCTGGTCCCCAGATTTTCAACCCTGCAGCAACACCTTCGTCACTGCAGTAAGAGAAGTGGGGTTGGTGTAATATTGACACCAGTGTAACTGTGATCATGATGGCTGGGAAGTTGATGTCTTTGGCCCACGTGTATATGTATGGGCTGTTCATATTAAAGAAAAGAACTTGTGTTACATGCTGTCTTAGTAGATAGGTCAGGTAAATAAAACCAGTGTAATAATATTCCTGTAACAAAACCAAATTGACTGTATACAATTTTTGGAGGATCTACTATCTGAGAAAAAAAGAGAGAAGAAAAAGAAACAATGAGTAAATGAAAGACATTCTGGACAGTTGCAGAAGACAATTTTGGATTCAAATCAATTGAAATGTATTTTATTATTTGAATTTAATAACAATGAGACAAAAAAAGAAGGAAATGGTGAGTAATCGACTTAATGAATTTAATTGAGAAGATGAAGGAACAAAGACTAAATGGTAAAGAGGAAGAGTTACTTAGAACAACAAATAACAGGAAGTTGTAGAGAACCATAATTGCCAATGTTTTGAAAGACATGAAATAAGAAAGAATAGTAATGACAATAATAATGAAGTGTATAACAAAGAGCAAATAACTCTTGATTTCCTTATTTGTATAACTATTCTTGTGTCATTCTTTTTATATTCCAACATATGCTTTTAATATACTTTATTTCAATATTGTTGAAGACATTTTTCCCCCACCCCAAAGCAAACAAAAACATTTATCTATAGGATGAAGATTACTTTTCATTTTAGTTAATTTTATGCTTTTTATTTTTAGCAAAATTTGGGTGGACTCTGGAAATTGAGAATATTTTAATCATAGTTGTAATATCTTTCAGATCAGTGTTCTTAAACCACATACAGGCTTATGGCAAGATCTTGTTGAAACACCAGTTCCTGTATGATCAATGAAGTTAAGCAACATTGAGGCTGGTCAGTACCTAGATGGATGACTAGTTGGGAATATCAGGTGCTGCAAGCTTGGATGTATGGGTGGTGTAATGGATAATGGCTCAGAATTATTAATTAGAGAGCCAGATTCCAGTGGGACAATTACAGAAGACAACTGTTATTATATTCCCTTACATGCAAATACCCTTGGGAAAGTTATGAATTCATTCCTTCTTCCTAGCTATGGGTTAATTAGTAAGATTTGTATCACTAAATCATAATCTTCCCTCAAAAAATTTTTATAATGAAAAAATAATTTTCTGGCTTTAAATAACCTGAAAAGGGTTGATAAACCATAGAAAATAGATCAGTCAATCCATCAATCAAATCACATATGCAGAAATTATTAAAGCTTTTTAATACATCTCATTTATTGATAGTGACTGTTAGAAAATGTAGGATAAAAGTATTTAAAAACTGAAAATATGAAATTACCAATATTAATGATGACCATTTTCTTCTTACCAATTCTACTATGTACTGTGTCCCTTTGGGACATTAGTCATAATGGCTTTCTACAATTTTCTCTTTTTTGTAGCTCTTTATAAATTTTGTCTTTTTGTCATTTCTCCTGAACCTTGTTCTGCCATCCATTTACTCAAGCTCACTAGGTATGTTATGCATTGTTTTTCTCTATGCCTTCAATGAGTATCAAATTTTCCAAGCCCTCTTTCTTCATTGTGCACCCCAGAAATTTTAACTATATCTTTTTGATGTTAAGTATAAGTTTCCTTTTTATTTCCATTTTCCCTAAAACTCCATTGTTGCTCACATGTTCAGTGCTTGTTGTCAGCATCCTTATGTTGAACCACATTTCTGTTGCTTCAAGTCTCTTCTTCATCTTTGAGGAGTGTCCAGCATTCATATAGGAGGAAAGATATCATGTAACAGTTTCGCTTTCTTTGTTTTACTGATAAAATATGTTGTGAAAATTTATCAGTAAAAGTAGTGGATCAATAGAAGTTCATTTAAAAGTTTAAATGAAATGTATTTTTAGAGTTTATTATAAATAACCTGTGTGAAAAATCTTCAACATAAAAACTTTCTATTAAAATTCCAGCTTTTTTTCTTTTTAATGAAAGAGACATGTTTCTTGTTTTTTTTTTTTGTTCAATGAAAGAGACAGGTTTTTTTTTTCAATAAAAAGAGTTTTTTTTACTTTTTAAGTAGACACACTTTTTATAAAGTTGATATGTTTTAAATAAAATAAAACTATTTCTATTATTCCACAGAAACTTATAAAATTATAATATGCATCTGTAGGGATCTCTTAATCATGAAAAATAATAAATAAAAAACAAACCTAATTCCTATGATTCCATACAAAAAAGGAAACGGCCCTACTGGTGGAAAATTTAGAGACTTCCTCTTTTTCATCGACCTCTCACAAAAAGAGCACATGGATTTGAGCTGCTCCAAGAATGACGACCACAGATAAATTATACACAAATATCACTTTCTCATGTTTAATATTACTTTTTAATGATAGACAAATCAATTGTAAACAAGTTATTCAGTCACCAAGACAAACAGAAAAATCTGAAACATTTACTAACAATCACATTACAAGAACTTTCATGCATTTACCAAACAAGCACAACGAAATCCTTCCATATAAGTATAATGTCTCACTTTGTTGTTATGATGTATGTCATATTTTACTAACCAAAAACAGGAGTCAAACAAGGTCCATCATAACACATGAATTACAAATAGAGAAAAATTTAAATGCAATGTCAATCACTACTGTCCTCCTGATTACTCTTTCCTTTTCCTGCTCATTATTAATGTTTCTGTTCCTAATTCTCCCACACCCTGTAATCCTTTGTGTCTTAGTGGCTTTACTGCTTTGCATGAGGTGACACTGATTAAAAAGAAAAAAAAAGACAATTTAGAAACAAAAAAACTTATATTTGATTAACTCAAGAAAGAAAGGTGAGATAATTTTTCTCTTTTTTAAAAGTATAATTTTTTATAAAAAGAAAATGGAAGAGTACACAGGTATTGCATAGGTAACATCCATTGACTTTGGAATGTTTTCAAAATTAAAACGTCATACTGGTTTTATTATCCGCCTAGTGTCCATTGAAGGGAAAATGTCAATGTTCCCACCAGTTCATTGATTTCTTTTGAGATCTTTTCTGACAGCAACAGAAAGATCAATAAAAACAAAGTCAAAATATTCAAAACAAATTTTTTATCCTATTAAGTTACTGAACCACAGAATTCTTCACATCCTGGCAGCACCCATCTTCTCTCTCAATTTCATCTCATGTGATGCATATCTGAAGATCTTCCAGAGATATCAATTGTTCAACAAAGTGAGCAACAGAATTCTTTATATTCTGGAAACATCTAAATACTCACCTTTTTTTGACTCACCAAATAACACAAATATATTTTCCAGGTTCTATCATGCAAAGTTGATGTGTCTGGTAGGTATAACTAGACATTATGACTATCCAACTGCTAATAAATATTTTATGATGCTAAAAAATTTGCCACAATTTTCTTTTTCAAATATATACTATGCTACATTTAAGATTCATCTATGTTTAAGTGTACCTTATTAACCATAAAGTATAATAGATACATTAATAACCATTTATTAATATGCTATTGTTATGTGTCACTGGTGAACTATGGTCATTGTCTCATAGTGAGTTGTATTATCTGTCCCCAGTTCAGTACTACAAAGTTGCACAGTTTTGATTTGAAAGTCTTTTCACCAGGGAATAGGTTTACTTGTATTAATAATGGGTCTGTATTGGCCACTTTTATTGTCCCCAGCAAGTAAATATTACTGACTACTTGTCAATGATGGAGGAGTGCAGTGAATGAAAGAACTTCCCTACTGCATCCTTTTTTCTACATAACCTGCTTCTTACCAAATCAAAAACCTCACTGAAGAATTTTGAAGGGAGGAAATCCGTTTTTTTATCAGAAAATCTTCCTTCATGCTAATTGCTGATTCATCAATGAAAATTCACCACCACATCCTACTTTTTTGTAGGATTTGTGATCATCAACTGATCTGATCTTATTTTAATTCTGCTTGTTCCTCCCATAGCATGATTGTTATGCCCTACCAATAATTCATAAATAAATCGACTATTCCATTTTGATCACATGAAAAGATATATCAGGAATGATACTTTGTTACAGTGAGAAAAGGAAAAAATGGGGGAAGATAGAAGTGTTTAATCTCTCCTACCAATACATCATACATAATGAACTATTTCATTTTGATCACATAGAAAAGACAAAGATACTACTTGCTTTCAGTGAGAGAAAGAAAGAAAGAAAGAAAGAAATGATGATGGAACTGTTTAATGTTTGTTTCAATGAAAAAGTTGTCAATTTTAAATCTTTTCATTTGTACCCCCTTACTTCTTTAAATAAAGACCAGCTTTCATATTTATGATTGTTATTGCAATATTTTGTTATTGAAATTGTTAATTTCAAATGTTTAATGATGCAATAGGGGAATTTCTACAAATATTTTATTGTCATAGGACTTGCCATAAACATATTCAATCAAGTTAAGAATTAAGACATATCAGAAAATTAAAATAAGACAATAGGTGTTTTCACAGGTATTTCTAGTAAAATATATTGTATTTCAGAAAGTTACAATTAAACATAATATATTGTAAATATATTAATACATTATATTTCATGATATATATTTCATGCACAAATCGTTTGTTTTAATCAACTAAACTCATACTACTAGTTTATTAGTACAACTCATTGTTGCCTAATCAAAAGGAATTACTCAGTCTAAAATATGAATAAAATCATGCTGTTTATTTTTTGTATCATTTGTTGGCATTTAATGCTGATTTGTTCTATTAAACATGCATTCTATGAAATTTATCTAAAAAGACCAAAGATAGTGTTTTGGTAAATGATCAGATCTCAGAATTTAATGAGTTTAATCAGATATGTTTAATAGCTGATTTAAGAGTTTACACTTAGAATTGAGTCATAAATTTAAGAAAGATGATTTTGAAAGACGTTGTCGAGAGGTTTGTACAAATATTTTCCTTTAAATTTAACTAGGAAATTGAACATAGAATAGGATACACTTGAGTTAGTTTGGTTGGGTGTTGGTTGAGGAAAGAAATTTGGCCTTACTTCCACTGCATCAGTGTGTAACTGAAAATCAGAACTGGTGATAGCATAAACAGGAAATGCATCTGGTGGATAAAATAAGAAGGATGCACAGGTGCCCTGAGCCTTGAATTAAACAGGGCGCACAGGTATCCTGAGCAGAAGCAAATATGTAGCTTGCATGGATGCATGCTAGAAGAAGCGTGGCCACATGAAATTGCATGGGCAAGTGCCAGAAGAGATGTGGCCACACAAAGTTGTATAAGTGACATACTGGAAGAAGGCATAACCATGTAAATTTGCATAGGTGCCCAAATATTATTTAACCAGTCCAGTTTTTGATTTTGACAGAGATTCTAGCTAGAGGTTCACTGAAGTTTTGTCTCTGTCAATTCCTGTGTGTGCAATCCTAACCTCTGTGATTCTCCCTGACTCCACCCATTTGCTGCAATTCAATCAATAAAGATATATATATATATATATATATATATATATATATATATATATATATATATGTTTGTCACCTCATATGAGCAAAGCAGCAATATACTGCAGTTTCACACAACACTGAAAGCTGATACAAAACCAAAACTTTAACCTAAAATTTTGCACACTGTTCTTAAATAGTCTTGTCGAGGCTTTCATATGGCGGTCATGCAGAACACCATACCTGTTTGGAAATATCTAAATTGTCAGCTGTATACAACTGCTTTCTAAGATTGATGGTTAAAGGTGGCTTCAGGTGAATGAAACTTGTAGGGCTCAACGAGGACCATCTTTCTTTGAACATTGTAGATTGGTACTACAGAATCACTAACAAAGAACTAGCAGATCGCAGAAACCACATCACTTGAAGACTTGCAGTAGCAGCAACAGTTAAAATGGATAGCACATGTAACTTATAGTTACTGAAT